CCACGTCTTCTGCCATTCATCCCGATGATTCACTACAGGTTTGGATATAAGATCCCGTTGAACATATACCACGTTTGCTTGGAGAGAACCCACTGAACAAGGCGTAACGAGGTTCCAGGTAATGGCGAGTATGAACTCTTGTCGAAGAAGCAGAATGTGTGAGTATGTGTTAGTTTTCTTGAGTTGAAAGATGAGGAGACTCCGAGTCCTGCCCGTGCCTAAAACTCCTGCGCTCTGTATCCGGGATAATGCGAAGCGGCTAGCGGACGCTGTGAATGCGACGACATGAAATGCGATTCAAATGTCATGGAAAACATGCCTCCGACATAGGCACAATCACTCCTGACATCTCATGCTAACTATAACGTGGTTCGTACTCCATCGACCGTTAACTGTGTGACAATTGGACTCCTCTCTTTGGCTCGAGACCTTCCTGCGTACCCGCTCTCCGAGCCTTGATGTGTGTTAGTGGAGGAGGGGCGTGGCGTCTACTCGAAAGGCCCTTGTGGTGTAAGTGCCGCATCGCAAGAATCGCTGGTCCCGGTGCACGTACAAACTTGTTGATGCGTACAATCACCATCGGTCCGTTTTATTGACGCCCCCCTTGTTGCTGTAGATCAACGGGTACCGTGCTCGACCTCGTGTCTACATATTCTGTCAAACGCCTCTACGGGAGCTCATGCCTCGCCCACGCGTCGACATCTTGGGCGAGCTGCCGATTCTCTCAGCCTCGAGCTTGCAGTCCGTGCACGACGACCTCGTTGTGGACGCCCACGATCACCCTCCCCTCCGCGACCACCTGCGTTGCGCCTCCTGTCAGTCAAAGGTTGTCACTTTCAAACAATCGTATGCACACTCTCCATCGATCCTGCCATGGTTGCAGCACTTCATAATATCTAATTATGGTGCACACAACGTCGCTTTTCCTGTCCTCGATCTCGTCGCGTGGCTCCACAAGTTCAAGTCGTTATGTGAGATCCCACTCGACATCCTCCATCTCGAGTACTTATCACGGCCCCCCGACGATTGAAGGCCACCGTGCTTTTCCGTTGGGATGAGTACTGGCTTGGAGCCTGCGCTTCTCTTTGTACGGTATGAGCGAACTCTTAGAGCTCGCAGCGTTTCCCTCCCTCCAGCATCTGCATCTTTCGCTGCCGGACGCGTCGGAGTGCAGTGCGTATGCCATCCAACGTTTCCTCGAGAACCTTCGCCTCGGGGAATACGTGCCGAGTCTTCGGTGTCTACACATCAGGCACAGCGACCCACTCTACGAAAGACAGGAATCGACCGGCGCAGAAGGAGACCCTACCAGCGAAGAACAAGCACTACCTACGGCGAACAAACCCCTCGCTAGGCTCCGTGTCGTGACGCGGCCTGTGTTTGCTCTCCAGTCCCTACACGAGCTGGACCTCGCTTTCATCGACGAGGTACCTCTACGCCTGTCGGACGCGGCCGTGTATAAGATCACGACGAGATTGAGGCTCCTGCTGCGTGCTTTACGGGTAAATTTCGTCACGTTGGACGACCATCGCACAGAAACTGCGCCGTGCACCTCGAGGAGTTGGCCCTTCCGCAGATACGGAACTTGAGGATATCCTGGACATAGATCTTCCGGAAATACATTCACTCCAGGTGCTCGATTTGCGCCGCTGGGATGTCGACGAGATGAAGGAAAGCTCGATACGCGCTGTCTCCAAAGGCAGATTTTTCGCACGACGAGGTCGGTTTGCTAGATAGTGTCGACGGTCAGTGTCGGGTCCCGTCTATATTGTTCAAGTTTGTTGTCGATATAAATACCGCAATATCGGACACCATACCGACGCGTATGTATGTATCGTGCGTTGACGACTACACAAGTAATAAATTGATACATTAGTTGACCATAGTCTCGAACACCGGACATTGACCACACGGAAAGGCACTCAGGGATCACACCATAGAAAGCTTCACAACCAATGTATTTCTGTCAATCCACGTCATAACAACTAAATCACTGAGCCACTCTTGCCCACAATGCCTCAAGACCAGAAGCTGAGCTCACGGCGCCCATTGCCGTGTCCACGAGACGGGCCGCCGTTCCTCTCCAGCCTGTCGCGGTTAGGAACGTTCGGATCCTTCTGCCGGTACTTAGGAGGAGGGTTCGGGTCCTTGGGCGTGTAAGGAGGCTTCTTCCCGTTGATCGGGTCGTTCCTGTGGTACCGAGGCGGCTCGTCTGCACGAGCTAGCACCTCCTCCACCTCCCGCGCCCACAGATCCTCCATGTCCTCGCGTGCCCACAGCGAGTCCTCCAAGTCGAACTCCCGCCCGTACAGCGAGTCATCGACCTCACGGGCGAGGAGCTCCTCGAGCGCGTCGAGCTCGCGGCGGCCATTACCATGGCCGCGCGAGGGACCGCCGTTCCGCTCCAACTTGTCGCGGTTCGGCACGTTCGGGTCCTTCTGACGATACTTCGGTGGCGGGTTCGGGTCCTTCGGGGTGTATGGCGGCTTCTTCCCGTTGTTCGGGTCGTTTCGGTGGTAGCGAGGCGGCTCATCCGCTCGCACGTACAGATCGCTCAGGTCGCGGCGGTGGCCGCTACTACTGCCATGCCCCCGAGACGACCCACCGTTCCGCTCCAACCTGTCGCGGTTCGGCACGTTCGGGTCCTTCTGCCGGTACTTTGGAGGCGGGTTCGGGTCCTTAGGCGTGTAAGGAGGCTTCTTCCCGTTGTTCGGGTCGTTCCTGTGGTAGCGGGGCGGTTCATCCGCCCGCGCCAACAGGCCAGCCTCCACATCGCCCTCGAAGGCACGAACTTCGAGGCCGTCAGCGCTGTTTAATGTGTCAGCCTTGGATCATGGTCATCCCAGCATGCAGACACTCACGCCTCGAAGTCCATGGGCATAGCCAGTGCGACAGGCGCAACTGAGAGCGCAGCGCAGAGCACGGAAAACGACGTGGTGAAACGCATCGTGAATTGTAGTGGTTGAACGGCGTGGACGTTAAGGAGAGATGTGATTGGTCGTTAAGAAAACAAATAAGGCTTCAATACAAAGGTGAGTGGCTGGTTCGTCGACAACAACGCAAGTTACTCACCAACCAGTACCTACTTGTGAAGCTGAGCCCAAGAAAGTGAAGTGGACTGAGGAGTTCGAACGACAGCATGCCTCTTCTTATACTCAATAGCACCTGGCGAGCTTCTGGACACTGTGGAAGATTGTACAGGCGTCCATGGGGGTAACTGATGCCCTGCGAAGAGCATCTTCTCGACCCCATGCATCGCATGCCACTGTCATCGCAGAGGTTGCATCCTGACGTGGGCCATCAGCACCCTCGTTCGCAGATCACAGACGACGATGTACGTACAGCATCCATTGACAATTCCTGAGGATGGCAATCGGCGCAATCAGCACGGAGTTGCTGCGTAGAGCCTGTGCACTTACCCAACCGTACGTACACCGCATGTCGTTCTTTGCAGGGGAACAATGCCGCAAGGATCGCTGGCGCTCCCATAGTATAGCCACCACTTGCAGACGCCTTCCCACAACTTCGCATCGCGCCAAAGCTAGCTCGGGCTGGGTGCATCAAGTTCGTGACATGTTGAGCTTCGGCCGAGCGCCTATGCGCAACGTTCCATGAGGAGAGCCGTGGCTGCTCCCGGGTATGTAGCCATAGGATTTGGCCCAGTCTGAGCACGCCGCTGAGAGAAACAAACAAAGTCAGCATACATGACCCCAGCGTATTCGGAAACGGCATACCAGCAGAATATCTTGAGCCTTTGTCATGGAACCAAAATTAGACACTGCGCGGTCGCTTGTTGTGACGGGCGTGTGAGCCCAGGCAGGAAGCATGTCATAGTGTGTGCGCAACATTCAACGTGAAATCAGAACAACGCATTCCGTAACTCGGAGAACTCCACAGACCAACGGAGGACAGTTGATTGATGCCGGGTGCCGAGGAAGGACCGAGTGGGCCACTGAGCTACAATAATTGGGCTGACCTTGCGGCGTGTGCAGAAGGCCATACAGCAACACAGAGAAATAGAGCGGACGCACCGTGATCCTGTTGGTGATGCGCCTCCTCTTTCAGAAGCAGAAGCTGTGTCTCTTCGACGAGGACGTGACTGTTCATAATGTGCACACGCTGTCAGCGCAGCTGTCCCAGAGGTGACATAACCGTCAACACAACCCGACGATCACGCTGTTGCAATGAGAGCATCTCCATGGCGCTGCGGACCTTGATCAGCTCGCAAGATGTTGCAGCCGAAGCTCTCAGAGTCGGCCAAACCAGGCGGATCTCGTGTCGTCGTCTGCACCCAGGCTGTGAGAGCGACGAGACGAATCGAACTCATCGTCGTAGGGGCGGAGGAAACTCACTTTAAACTACACGTGTGCCGATAACCCCAAAGGCTGTGCTGTCCACATAACTTGCCACCTCCAGCGCGGAAATCACTGCATCGGTTAGCTACAATCTCCCAAGGGCGCCTCATGAGTGCTCAGAGCAGCTTCCAGCTTCCGGCCCGTGTTTCGTCGTATGTGATGTGTGGAAATGTTGCATCGTAAACGCTTGCTAGTTGTATAGCACTCGACACACCCAGTCTCGCATCATCGATCCAACTGCGAGCCTGTGACGTGCGTCACACAGTTCGTGCCAAGTAGCCTGAGTTTGGGGTTAGGGCAGATTTGCGATCATCATCTCCCCTTTTGGTATCGTGAAGTACTGTGCATTGTTAGTCGAAACTGACATATGACGATGAGGAAAACGATTTACAGCTGAGGACAATTCAGAGGCCACTGATGTGATGGATCGAGATAAGGGTTGTACCGACCGCCACATACTGGCGCTTCTCGGCTGTGCTACAGCCTAATGGTTTCTCCCTAATTTTGTTTCGTGCCTCCGATGTCCAAAAATTGCGTCGGCACTCCAGGAACAATCTTGGCATTCGTACGTTTATGACCGGTACTTTACTATAGTCAAGCCTCTACTCAGATGGCCTTCATGTTCCCCATCAGCCGTATCTTCGTGGTGGGCTGGCGTAATGGCAACGCGTCAGTTTCCGGAGAGGTCCAACAGCTGAAGATTCTGGGTTCGATCCCCAGGCTCATCGCTTTATTTTACACCTACAGGCGTTCATTCTTAATATTTCCGTACTTATGTCGCTCCGATTCCGACGAGAGGCATCGCAGCAGCACTTGACGTTTTGCTTCCTCCCAGTCATCGCATTCAGGATACTACAGAACTATTGTGCCCTCAATATCATCGCAAAGTAGCCAAACCACGTGTATATATCACGACCAGCGACCGCACAAAGTAGTGACTGCATGCAGCTATCAGCTTCAGTTAAATGCGAATCACTGAAATTGGTGGAATATACGGATCTGCACATTATCAGAATACGTGGTATTATCAGGTACGATGCATCCGATATATAGCGAGCGCGGTAGATTTCTCAATCCAGCGAGAATAAGTAACATCTCTTTTTTGGAAAGTAGAATGAACAGACAAGGGGGTGGGCCAGTAAACGTGACGTTCCCAGGGATATGTGACAGCAAACTTGCTCCGATGTCGCCAGGATGCCATGTTGCATCTGAATTACTGTCTCTTCGAGCGGCGGCGCTCGTCATCAACATACATGCGGTCGAACAGCCCGTCGACATTGCTGAGGAGTGATAGAAGATTGGTTAGGTTTGGCGAAAGATGTGGACATAGTACTCACATTCCGAGAGATGTAGAGAAGACAGGCATAACAGTGACAGCGGCAGAGAGGATAGAGAGAATGGTCTTTGCGTGCATGTCGCAATGAGATTGTGGCGTCAACGAGCGTGAAGGACGGGTGCTGAGCAGACTAGGAGTACTGATGGGCGGAGAGAGTGAACGACTGCTGCGCGACGAAACGGCCTGCGCAGCTCTGGTTGAGGAGGTGATCGACTACGAGACAAACGACGCGAGTGTAGAAGCGAACACAGACGGTAAGAAAGAAGAGCCCGATGCACTCACCTATATGTACGCACATCGATATGCTGTGCAAGAAGCAAAACAGGCATCGCTCGAGAAGCCGGTCAAACAGATCTCGTCGGCGCCAGCGGACCACTGGCAACAGCTTCCCGCCCAAAGTGGGCTCATCCTGCAGATGACCGTTTGTGCCTTTCTTGCGCTAGTATGACACTGGTGTGTTCACCATGCTGCACTATACGATAGGCGGGCATCGGAAGAGGAATCAGGATCTACATAGATCCGAGATTCAGCAGCAGCCTGTGGGAGCATCGTAAGAGTCAGCACATCCTGCGGCCAGCCGTTCAGAGCTGCAACGATCTAAAAGAGGGTTCAACACATATGGTGGGTGAACTTCGTGATGTGGAATGGTGTGGTTATGACGCCCAGCAGCAGTGGTAGCGTGTGCGGACATGATGTTACGCCGGCCGAAAAGTATTGCTGCCCCAAAGTCACAGCTCATTGAATAGAAATAGCTTCGAACCTGCAGACTAGTGTTGGCACTTAGGTCGCCCGACTGACTTATAACAGTGTCTCGGAGGAGGATTCTCGATTCGGTACGCTGCCACCGTGACGGTGACGCTCTACACGATCGTGACGGCAGCCCTCTCCACTCAACAATGGAATACTTAGCTGCAGCCAGAGTCGACATCAATATCATCAGCTTTCATAACAAGTACTCTCGTCCTGTCTCAATTCTCTAACTGGGCTTCCTCCATGCACAGCGTCGAACACAGGACAGGCGACAGCAGACTCAAGTTGCTACCACTCCAAACCCTGTCTTCCACTCCACGGCTCTTTAGCTTTGCTGATAACCCGCGACGCACCGTATATATTGGCACGCGTCGTTGAATCAAAGTGGTTTCACAAGGCTCGCTGCGTTCTTGGATCAATCAGGTGCGTTTGTTGAACTTGAATTTGAGAAGCGGAGGCCCGCTCCTTCTTCTGATTCCCATGCTGTGGCGCACTTCGCCCTCCTTTGAACCATGTACGCCAACCCTAAGGCTGGTTCACCGTTTCTCCTGACGGTTGCCAAGCACGATTTGTGAGTAGTCCTTCAAATACTTTGTGTGGACTGACTCACTGAGGCCCGCTATGTGGGTTTCGGCCGAGGCATACAGCGCACATTGTCATGCCTTACCGAAGCACGACGCACCGACAGGGATCATGGTGAGAAAAGAGGGGCACAGTGCGTCAGCTCTCACCGCCTTCCAGTCAGCAGCGCACGAGCAAGTCTGCTTCGGCCGCCGGCGCCTGCGAACGTCCGCAGCCCCGTCCAATCGCAACGCAGCATCCATCCAACCGCTTCATCACCTCTCCTCCTCCTGCGTACGACCCCGGTCTACAGGCTTGCCGTACGGGTGCACGTCCCTCGCATACCGTGTCCTCCGCGAGGGCAAAACGGTGCCCCCGTGTGAATGTGCGTAGGAGGACCGGCGGCTGCTTATGCGTTATCATGTCGCCCGCTAAGTGAACGTCTGCAATTCGTACATCACCAGTCGCGGAGCCGCCTGTCGACAAGATGTGGTCTGCCGCCGTTGGCGCCCTCTCCACCGCGTACAAGTACTTGAGCTCGCGCCTCGCCAGCCGAACAGCAGAGTCGACGCTCCTGCCACTGCAAACGCGCAAGATGACTACCTCCGCTTCCACACAAACGAACGCGCTCGGGCCATACGACCATGCCGCGGTGGCACGTTTCACGGTCCCACCGAATCCGGATTGGTCGTTCGGCCAGCCGATGGAGACGACGCTTGAAGGGAGGGCTTGGATGGAAGGGACGAAGGAAGGTTGGAAGGTCTTTGATGCTGAAAAGGAGGATCCTACGTATGCCACGCTATCTCATCCTGAGCTGCATTAGCTGACGCGTTCATAGTGCTATGTACAAGCTGATGATAAGCGGCATCGTTCCGCGGCCAATCGCATTCGTCTCCAGTGTATCTGCAGACGGCGTGGAGAACCTCGCTCCGTTCAGGTATGTTTGTTCTGCATGCTGGGATGCTGTCTAATGAAGAGCTTTAGTTGGTTCAACATGGTCACGGGCAACCCGCCTATCGTCTCTATAGGCGTCTTACACAACCCGAAGGCGCCGAGCGGCTTGAAGGACACCGCCGCGAATATACTCGCAACAAAAGGGTTCACCGTCAATCTCATCAGCGAGCCATTCATACACAACGCGAATGCCTGTAGCGTCGACGCACCCGCGGATGTCAGCGAGTGGGACCTCAGTGGCCTGACTAGGGCAACCTCGGTACGCACGCCCAGTAGATCGTCTCGCTACTGTGACTGACACCATCCAGATCCACGTCACCGCCCCGCGCGTCCTCGAATCCGCATTTGCGCTGGAATGCACGCTCTTCGCGAGCCACGAGATAACACACCCGGCGACGGGCACGGTGACGACGACGCTCGTGCTCGGGCTCGTCCGTGCGGTGCACGTCCGGCGGGACATGCTCACGAGTCGCGGGCTCGTGGACCCCGCGCGGCTGCGCGCTGTCGGGAAGATGGGCGATATCACGTACGCGCGGCAGGGAGCGATGTTCCGCATCCCGCGTCCGGATTGGACGCCGGAGATGCTGCGCGAGGCTGCGTTCCACCCGGCGATGAAGCAGCGGATTGAGGACGGTGAGGGACCCGAGTTGCTTAAGGCAGCGCGGTGAGGTGCTATGGTGATCGGAAGCTCACGAGCTGCTTTGTACACGGTTCGATAGACTGCCGTAGATGCAGTCACGCTGACTGGTAGACTGATCGGTATGTTGATACTTGATATTCTACAAAATTGTAATACATTAGACACGCCACGTCAGGCGCAAGACCCGCATACTACGCGTTGTCTGCTCTGGCTACGACTCGGACCGATCAGCCCAAAGAAGTTGTATGAAGTCGAGTCTTTAGACATAGCATCAGTTTGTGATATCAGCTTGAAGTCATTACAGAAGCAATCCTCTTGCCAGGAGACCAATGTCGTTATAGCGCGGAGGTCACTGCAAAGTAGCTGATAGGCGCCGGTATACGTAGTGGCGGTCGGTACAATTCTCATCTCGATCCATCACTGCATCAGCCTCTGCGTTCAAGTTGTCCTCAGCTGTGAATCGTTTTCCTCGCCATCGTCCACCCGTACCAACTCGTCAACGGGTCACAACAGTTCGTGACATCTCAAGGCCGCGTTCGGGAGCTGGCAGACGCACACTCCCTGCGCCCGGCCCCAAAATCGAGCTACTTGGCATGAATTACATGCCATCGACGTGACCAACGTCACTGTCGACTCGGAGTTGTCCCGCGACGATGAAACAGTTCAAACCCTGCAATGTTGAGTTCGGTTCGTCTCATCGCTCTCACAGCCTGGGTGCAGACGACGACACGGGATCCGCCTGGTTTGGACGACTCTGAAAGCTTTCGCTGCAACTTCTTGCGAGCTGATGAAGGTCCACAGCGCCATGGGGATGCTGTCATTGCAGCGGCGTGGTCGCTTCAAGATCGTCGTGTTCTGTTGACATCCATGTCACCTCCGGCACAGCTGCTCAGACAGCGTGCGTATATCATGAACAGTCACGTTCACCATCTCCTTCAAGTTATCGAGACGACACAGCTTCTCAAAGGTCGTCGATGATTACAGCGCGTCCGCTCTCATTGTCTGTGGTGCTATATGGCCTTCTACACACGCCGCAAGGTCAGCCCAATTGTTGTAGCCGCGCAAGAATATGTCACTGGCCCACTCGGTCCTTCCTCGGCACCTGGCTACATCAATCAACTGCCCTCCGTTGGTCTGTGGAGTTCTCCGAGTTACGGAATGCGTTGTTCTGGTTTCACGTTGAATGTTGCGCACACACTATGACATGCTTCCTGCCTGGGCTCACACGCCCGTCACAACAAGCGACCGCGCAGTGTCTAATTTTGGTTCCATAACAAAGGCTCAAGATACTATAGGCGGCAGCGATCCTGACGGCATTGTACTCTCGCAAAGACATGTCACGCACCGTCAACTACTTACAGCGAGCCAACACTCCACGCTTGCTGAGGAGTCTATGACTGCGTCAATCAATGCACAGGCTCTACGCCACAGCTCCATACAGAGGACACTGACTCTCATCCCCATTCCCCGCGATAGGAACATCAAAT